CAGGAGAGTTTCCCTAACTCAGGGGTTCCTGACCTTTTTTAACCAGGGACCACTCTCCAACATCAGTACCAAAAGGGTTACGAATCAGTTTTTGGTCAACTTTAGAATTGGTTTAGTTATTTGGGATGCTGATTCAGAAAATTATGTTGGATAAACCACATCAGCTCTAGTTTCTGATACAGAACATATGCCATCCAGTAGTCGCCATCTGCTCACCCACATAAAGCTATATTTAATAATCCAGAGCTGATGTGGTAGTAGTAATCTTTCGTGGGTAGTTAGCCTCTCCCCTCCTGACATCCCCGTTGCCTCAGCACTATAAGATGGTTTCTCAAGACCAGTTGCTCTCATTGCCACGTAGTTTCGAGGCAACTGTGTAGTAATAATGAGAACATGGACCATATTTTCGTTCCTGCGGACCATTGGTGGTCCATGGAACACAGGTTGGGAACCACTGCCCTAATTGAACCCATTATTTTGGTCAACATGCATTACTATTACAGTGTGGAAGAAGCTTGAGAGTAACTCAAATGAGGCACACAAAAGGTAGCAATATCACAGTAACAAGATAACCATATTTCTGCTACAAAAATTAGGATGCATCTATACTGTATTATTAATGCAGTTTGACACCACTTCGGCTCAATACCATGGATTCATTGGAATTGTTGTTTGGTGAGGCACCAGCACTATTTTGCAGAGAAGGTTAAGGACCTTGCAAAACTACAACACCCAGAATTCTATAGCATTGAGCTATGGCAGTTAAAGTGACATCAAACTGCATTCATTTTAAATTGTAGATGCACCTTAACTCTCCCACTTCTAAGGCTACCAATAAGAAAACACTAAAAGTAATATTCAACCTTTTACCTCAATTTTGGGGGAGGGGGTGAAACAATGTTTCTGTTTTTCTTTACTGTTCTGTCCTTCGATACATTTCTTTTAAATTCATAAACATATCGGAACTACTGCAACAACAAAAAGCTGTACTTCCCTTCTTGGTTTGTTTTGGATTGATCTAAACAAAAGAGAGTTTTTCAAACAGAGCTACTGGTTTTTGCTGATTTTGGCTGGTTTTGTGATCTGTGTCCACTTGTTTCATTCTTTTTGAAGGCTTGCAGCAATTTGTTGGATATGTACTAAGGTTCTTCCTAAGGTGTTTTAAAAAGCAAATGCTTGGGTTATGGTTTACTGTTTTGGTTCTATTGTGCAAATTTTCCCTTCTCTGAATATTTGTGTGTGTGTGTGTGTGTGTGTGTGTGTGTGTGTTTGTGTGTGCGTATGTGTGTATATGGGGGGGGGGGATCCAGTCAGACCCAAAACATGGGACCTGTCTTGGTCTCCAAGACAACAGGAAACAAGCTTGCCCCCTTCTCAATGTGCATCCTTTCAAATATCTATGTTTATCATGTCTCCGCTCAATCATATTTTCTCCAGGTTAAACATACCAAGCTCCCCAAGTCTTTGATCATTTAGGTCTTCTTTCTCTGGACACATTGCAGCTTGTCAATATCCCTCTTGAATTGTGGTTCCCAGAACAGGACACAGTATTCGAGGTGAGGCCAACCAAAGAAGAATAGTGGGATTATGACTTCCCTCGATCTCGACACTATACTCTCATTGATTCAATAGATCAGATAGTAGACACTACAAATAAACACTGCAAATAGTTTGTGCCTGCTTATGTTCATGAGAAGAAACAGAGAGGGATATGCAAATAGTTTGCTAATTCAACTTTATTTGATCTCTATAGATCCATGAGAAGAATGCCTGGCCAATGTATTGCATGCAAGGAATTGGGGAAAAAACTGACGGTTTCAATTTTTCCCCAAGAAATACACTCACCCTCAATATTATGTGGTGAATGACAAGTCTAAATCCTTGTTTATTAAAAAGTGTTGAATTTATGGTGTGTTGAGCTTATATAACACTGCAGCTGTGGGAGATCAGTTGCAGCTTCAGAGTATTTTCTGGCAAGAGCAAAAAAGTACTGCCTTTAAGCTATCCAAAGAGTTGCTCTGGCTTAATCCAAAGAAACTAAAAAGTATGACCATTTTTGGAGAAAGAGACAAACGCCAGATGTATGGGATTGATTCTAAGGAAGAAATGCTTCCAACTCTTACCTGGAAGTAAACTCAATTGAATATAGTGAGGGTTACTTCTGAGTAAATCACTACCAAATTAGAATGCAGGGCAACAAAAAAGTTACTCGTTTATCGATTTTAAAGATAATTAAGCTCTATGGGATTTATTTCCAAGTATAACTGTATAGGATTGCACTGTAAGAACTGATTAATTAGATGAAAGGTGTTTTTAGGGGTTGTCTATACAGGTGTACTATTTCGTAAACTCTGTCTTGTTATATTTTATATACACAACTGTCTAAAAGCTCTTGATTCATAGATGGGTCATAATATCTATATTTGCATTATATTACGAGACCACTTTCTCTAAGAATAAAGCAATTTTATGGCAAATCTCATATCCTCTGAATCAATGCAAACTGGCATTACTTTTATTATTTATCATGTCAAAAGTGAATAGAGGGTACAGTTATAATGTATTTAACAGAACACAAAGAAAGTTAAAAACTTGGCATTATACTAGACTTCCTTTGACCAGACGCTGGACACTTGGAGTGCCTCTGATGTCGCTGTAAGGAGGTCCTCCATTGTGCATATGGCAGGGCTCAGGCTGTATTGCAGTAAGTTGTTTTTGTTTTTGTTTTTGTCGTGTCAGGAGTGACTTGAGAAACTGTCAGTCACTTCTGGTGTGAGAGAATTGGCCGTCTGCAAGGACGTTGCCCAGGGGACGCCCAGATCATTTGATGTTTTTATCATCCTTGTGGGAGACTTCTCTCATGTCCCCGCATGAGGAGCTGGAGTTCATAGAGGGAGCTCATCCGCCTCTCCCCGGATTTGAACCTGCGACCTGTCGGTCTTCAGTCCTGCCGGCACAGAGGTTTAACCCATTGCGCCACCGGGGACAGTAAGTGGTCTGTGGATTGCTGTTCTTCACACTTGCATGCCGTGGACCATTTCTTAAGGTTAGCTCTGCATCTCGTGGTGCCAGAGCACAGTCTGTTCAACACCTTCCAAGTCGCCCATCCTTCAGTGCGGCCAAGTGCTGCTGTGGATTGAGGTTCTGAGTTTTAACCTGCCACTTTTGGATTCTCGCTTGCTGAGCTGTGCCTGCGAGTATCTCTGTATATCTTAGAAAGCTGTTTCCTGCTTTAAGGCATTGGCATGCTGACTGATATCTGAACAGGGGATGGGCTGGAGATGTCACTACCTTGGACCTTTCACTATTCCTGGCAGATATCAGGTGGTGCAATATAATTTCTCCAGTGGTGTAGGGCACCCTGTGATAATGTGGCATGTCTCATTAAGAGCCACATCCACTGTTTTAACGTGGTGAGTTCCACAATGAGCATGCATATTCAGCAGCATAGTAACAAAGCATAAGGTTAGATGTCTTCACTCTATCTGGTTGTGATCCCCAGGTTGTGGGGGAATCTCAAATAAATAAATAAATAAATAAGGTTGAAGTCCCAAAAGTAACTTTTTAGATCTTGCATATATAATAGCAGTGATAAAGGGGTGATTAGTGGATCTAATTGTACTAAAGATAACAGATGTGTTCTGACCTTGTAAATTAAGAAGGTTAGGACTAGCCTAAGAAATTTATTTATTTATTTACTTTATTTGTATACCGCTCTTCTCAGCCCTTAGGTGAAAGTCTTGTAAAGAACATTTTTAAGACTATGTAGTGTTTTAGATATTTTAAAAGAGTTTTAATGGTTAAAAGTACCTATTTTAATATTTCCATGTTTAATTCTATTTTAGTATTTATATGTTGTAGGTTTGAAATGGTACATTGAATTGTATTTTAGCATTCATGGGGCTGCAAGAGGTGACGTAAATGCTTACACACACTTTAGTATTCTGTTTAAATTCAATGTATTATTTATGATAACAGTCTTAAGGGTGCAAACTGGAAAATCTCAAATTCAGATCTTTTCACTCAATTGATTTAATGTGCCTAGTTTTAGTCTAATTATAACATTTTTCCATGGCAAAATAATTTCAGTCAGGCATACAACTGCAACTGAAATTGTTTTGCATTCTCAACGACTGGGAACTTAATGTATTAATATATATATATTTCACTCCATAAGATCGGGTTTTAGGTTGGAATAAATAAAATACAATTTGAAAAAATATACATAATTAAAAAATTAGATTAAAAGCATATGAAACAATTTAATTCACAGACATCCTACTATCCGTTATTAAATTAACTTAGGCAAGTTACATGCTGGGTGGAATCTACACTGTAGAATTAATGCAGTTTGACACCACTTTAACTACCACTTTATATCTGAGATTTGTAGTTTATCCTACTCTCCCAAATAGTACTAGTTCCTCACGAAAACTACAACTCCCAGAAATCTATAGCATTGAGCCATGGCACTAAAAGCGGTGTGAAACTCTATTAATTGCACAGTGTAGCCTCAAAAAGGAGAAGCAAAAGCAAACATGCCCAATATTGCAAGTAAAATGCCATGCTAGATTTATATCATGGTCACCAATAGCTGGGAATGATTTGACAGCACTCAACCACAAAATGATACAAAATGTCATTCAAAGTAATGTGATTTTCAAAGTAACCAGAGTTTAGAAAAAAGGCTGTAAGCTTAAAAGCATTGATAAATCATGATATTATTTTCCCTTAATGAAGTAACATGGGTTTGAAAAAGCAGGAAGCCCTTGGTATTGAATAAACACCCCACTGCTTTATCTTAGTTAGAGTTTAGCATTTGATTTTCATAACTTTTGGGGCTTAGTCTAATTTCTAATTGAGAAATGTAAAAAGCAAACCCGAAAGTTTCTCCTCCGTTCGTTCTGTCTTGACTTTCTATGTCTATGCAAGAAAGGGGAAGGCGCTCGAGAACCGGACCAATAAGGTTGCAAAACGCATGCAATTTGATGTAAGAAGTATTCCTTTCCCTTTTGCGCATGCTCGGCAGTGTGCGCATGCGTAGTAGCGTGGTAAACCCAGGTGGAGAGGAAACATGGCGGCGCTTGAGTGAGTTTCACGCGGAGGAAAGGGGGAGGAAGGGAATCTGCGTCCATCCTCAGGGGAGGAGGGCTTTGGACATATTGAAATAATAGATCTGTGTCTAGAATTGCTTGTTCTTCGTTTAATTCGGTTTCATCGGTGTAAACAGAGTTTTGTTGCTTCTCGGGGCCGCTCTGTTTATATGTGTTGACGATCTGAGAATTTTATGGTTGTATAAAAGAATGTGGAAGAATTGAAAGGGAAATGTGGGGTGTCATATATCTCCTACATTGGGGAGGTAGAACTATATTAATACTAGCCGTCCCCTGTCCTTTAGGGATCCCTTTCAAATCTATGATACTATATATATATCTCTGTGTGAATCATATCTATCTATATCTATGGCTGGATGGATCTTTGTCAGGAGGGCTTTGATTATGTTTCTTTGCCCTGGGGAAGGGAGTTGGACTGGATGGCCTTAAGTATTTTCTGTTGATCATGGGGGTTCTTTGTGGGAAGTTTCATCCAATTCTGTCATTGGTGGGATTCAGAATGCTCTTTGATTGTAGGTGAACTATAAATCCCAGTAACTACAACTCCCAGATGTCAAGGTCTATTTTCCCCAAACTCCACGTGTGTGCATATTTGGGCATATGGAATATTCGTGCCAAGTTTGGTCCAGATCCATCATTGTTTGAGTCCACAGTGCTCTCTGGATGTAGGTGAACTACAACTCCCAAACTCAAGGTCAATGGCCACCAAACTCTTCTAGTGTTTTCTGTTGGTCATGGGAGTCCTGTGTGCCACGTTTGGTTCAATTCCATCATTGGTGGAATTCAGAATGCTCTTTGAGCGTAGGTTAACTGTAAATCCCAGCAACTACAAAATGACAAAATCATTTATTTATTGAAGGTCACTCATTGGCCTGATAGGTGTATTGTGTCCAAATTTGCTGTCAATTCGCCCAGTGGTTTTTGAGTTATGTTAATCCCACAAATGAACATTCCATTTTTATTAATATAGATGTGGAAGAATTGAAAGGGAAATTTGGGGTGTTATATATCTCCTATATTGGGGGGAAACTATATTATATTAATATTATATTTACTTACAATTCCCTTTGAGACTCAAAGCCCCTCACATCTTAAAAAACAATAATCCCAAACCTCAAATCATTGTATTTAAGTACTAATTAACAGTGTTGAACTAGCATCATATGTAAGGAGCAATGTAATAAATTTGTGTTAATTGCAGGTTCCTGGTTTTGAAAGCATTATGAATTGAATCGAGATTTGATCAGACTCTTTAAATCTGGATTATATGGTAGTGTAGACTCATATACTCCAGTTCAAATTAGATAATATTGGGCCCTTTACACATAGCTGAATAAATTCCCAAACTATCTGGTTTGAATAGGGATATATGGCAGTGTGGACTCAGATATTCCAGTTCAAAGCAGATATTGTGGGTTATTCAGCCTTGGTATTCTGGGTTATATGGCTGTGTGGAAGGGCTCTAGATTATATGGCAGTGCACAAGGGTCTCAAATCCGTTAATATCTATGATTAAGCACAACTGACTCGAGGTCCTGTGGATTTCAGTGTGAGAGTCTGGGGCACGATGTACACTGCCATATAATAGCAGTTTGGATCTGCATTATATTGTCAACGCAGATTCAAATAATGCAGTTCAGTGGGCCCAGTGACTATATATATCAGTGGTTCCCAACCTTTGGGCTTCCATGGGCCCTTCTACACAGCCCTGTATCCCAGAATATCAATTCAGAAAATCCCACATTAACTGCTTTGAACTGGGATATCTGAGCCCACGCTCAGGTAATATGGGATTTTCTGCCTTGATATTCTGGGATTTAGGGTTGTGTGGAAGGGCCCCCAGTGTTTTGAACTTCAGCTCCCACAGTTCCTAACAGCTGGTGAGCTGGCTGGGATTTCTGGGAGTTGAAGTCCAAAACACCTGGAGGCCCAAAGGTTAGGAACCACTGCTCTATATAATGTAGATTCAATCTGCTTCATATAGAAATGTAGATCTAGGCTCCTGTGTCCATATAGTTGAAAATGCTGCTTTAATGTTTGCTCTTCAACAGAAGCATTTAAGTGAACAATCCAGTTAACTTGAGAATTCTTAGACTACTTTATAAAGCATTTCTGAGACAAGTAAAATTGATTTATATTAATATTATAATCTGTGTTTATATCCTGCTTTTCCCCTCAGAACCTTGAGTCAGGATGTAAATACAGCATAGGAAATACATGCAATTGACTCTCATTGAAATGTAATTAAGCATGGGAGGGGGTTGGACAGATGCCCTCTTTCAGCTCTCTGCTTCTGCATTAGATATATTATGTTGTAAACATTTGTCTCTGTATGTTTAGGCCACCCAGGAAGATCCCTTTGGTGCCAGAAAACCTACTGAAGAAAAGGAAGGCCTATCAGGCAATCAAGGCCACCCAGGCAAAGCAGGCCTTGGAGGACAAGAGAAAGGTAGGGGAGATACAATATAAGACCAGGATATACTTTGCTGTACTTATGTTCCATGAAGACTGAAAGCATTAGTTGCTTTAAGGGAAATCATTTCACTATAGCATTGTAAACAATGGGACGAGCATTCATGGATTTTCTGTTCTGGAACCAAACCCCATCAGATACCAAGTGTTGTCTGTAGTAACTTTCCACATATATTTATTTTCATTTAATTTAGTTCAGTGATTGTGCTGAATTAAATGAAATTAATATATGTGGAAATTATTTCTTTAAATAAAGAAAAAGATATAGATGAAAATGAGGTTTAGCGAGAAATAGCTGGGGAAGTAAATAAATAATAGTATATCTGTTAATGCTTAAGGAAGGCACATCTTTTCTTATTTTGGAGCTTGGCTGGATGGGCCAGTAGCTTCGTTGGCACTTTTAAGGCTCTTGATGTTCGAAGGGTAACACGTGTTTTGTTTTCTGTTACTCAGACTGACATTTATGCTTTAAATAGCAGTTTCATTTAATTCCTCTAAAGTTCTCTGTAGTTCCTGTTTGTGCCTATTATTAGGACAAAGATGTCCGTAATGTCCTGATTTTATGGATCATTTAAACTGGGATATAGCTGATATACTGGAGGCTGTAGGTGAAAATCAAGTTATTCAGGACGGCATAAAAGAGTCTCCTTGATATGATGGACTCTGCGTGGTTTGGATTTTCCTTTGTTAAGACAGTGACAGTTAAGTTGGATATGATGGAAGCATGTTAATCTTAACTATTATGTGGATTTTCAGTTGATTTTATGTCTTGATCAAACCCTGTTATTCCTAGTCTCTTTCATCCTTCCACACAGCTGAATAAAACACATTATCTGCTTTGAACTGGGATACATGGCAGTGTGGATTCAGATAACTCAGTTCAAAGCAGATATTGTGGGATTTTCTGCCTTGATATTCTATGTTGTATGGCTGTGTGAAAGGGCCCCTAGTTTACTTCTCTTCATCAACTCTGTTTCTGTGTTGGGAAAGTTCCTGTCCTGTGCTAACCTTTCATGTATAGTTTGTGAAATCCCTTATATAGTAACTGTGCTTTTCCTTAGTTTATAACAGTTGGTGTCTCACTGATAAACAAATGTATAACATGAGAAAAAGCTAAATTACTTCAAGTATTACATGAAAACCTGGGTGATGTCCTAGTTGTGATGTTATGACTAACAATAAGGTATGTTATAATTTATCTTAGCACCAGAAGGGAAAACAGATTAAATTCAAGCGACTTGAGTCATTTTTGCGAGACTCTCACCGGAAACGGAGAGATGATGTCCGTCTGCGACGCATGGAACATAAGCCTGGTTTGAGGCTAGAGCCCGAAGAGGGACATAAACTGGCATTTGTTGTACGGATTGCAGAGTAAGACATGAGTCATTCATTACTATTGATTCATTACTTATTTTATTCCTAATATTTACAGCTTGGCCATGTTTATAGCAATTTACCACCTTGGTTAGAGGACCACAATTTGAGTCTGAGTTGATGTTTTTATATGTGCATATGTTTTATTGTTTTGTTTTATTTTATTGTATTTTATATTGTGCTCACTCTTACGTTTTGTTTTTAGGCACTTTGTGCCATATGTAAGCTGCCCGGAGTCACTTTGGAGAAATGGTGGCGGGATATAAGAGTAAAATTATTACTATTGTTATTCATTATCTGTGGGGTTGTTTTAGTTTGCTCACACATCTTTCAGTTTGTGTTGCTTTAATAGGAACATTTAAAAAAACCAAACGAAGTATCCATGAACATTCTGTTAGCAATGGGAAAGTTAGTAGCATATGGCATTACTAAAGATTTTTGAAGTATGGCAGTGAACTAAAATTTGACCATCTTAAGATATGGCAGTTTCAAATATAATGCATATGCTATCAAGTTTTTCTTTCACTGTAAGCTTTTTTTGGGGTTCATTTGACACAAAGAGTTACTTTCAGTAACTGAATAGTAAAGTAGATATACATAGAAAATATAAGGAGTAAATTGTCAATATTTTTTTGGGAGGGGGAGCTTTAATGGACCATGCCCTCTACCAAGAGAGATAGCTACTGATACTATGTGTTTTTCCTTTTCATGTAGTATTAAAGGAGCAAATCTGCAGGTGCAACATGTCATAGATACCCTACGACTGAGAAAGATTTACAGTGGCACCTTTGTTAAATTGTCACGAGAAACTCTAAAGTTGTTACGTACAGTGGAGCCTTACGTAGCGTGGGGGTAAGTATTTATTCCGTATGTAGGTATGGCCATGTGTGCACATGTACCAAGGGTGGGATTGATTGAGGAAAATGAAAAGAATGTGCCTAAGAAGCACCAACACCTTGAAAGAAAATTAACTTTTGCATTATTTTATTGGAAATGTCTAGAAAGATTTAAGAGGAGTGCAATATAATGTACAATACCATTTTTTATTCTCCCCTTCTTCTACATGCTTTTTCTTGAGGGTGAGACAGCCAGATAAATGCTTTGGAAACGACACACACACATCCAGCAACTGTTAAAAGATTATTTAACCAAATTATTAGTCATGTTACACTTTAGGGTGACTCTAATCTTAACAAGTAGTGGCTTGTTGCTACAAATTTGTTAACACTTTATTTGTTGGATGCTACAAATTTGTTAACACTTTATCGTAATATAGTTTGTAAAGAAAGTTGTGTGCCTTAATGGGGAGAGGTCTATCCTGAAGAGGGAATCTAAAAAAAATTAGAATATTTACAAGATAAAAAACAGAGAACTTGCTATTTGCCATTACTTGCATTTTCTTTGAATATTGGTAGGCTCTTGTGATTTCAATTTGTTTCAGCACAATCACAATTTTTTTGTTTTGATAGTTATCCCAACTTGAAATCTGTTCGAGAGTTGATCCTGAAACGAGGCCATGCAAAGATCAAAAACAAAAAGATTGCTTTGACAGACAACATTTTGATAGAAGAACATTTGGGTAAGTGGGGGAAAAAATTGTGATTGTGTGTGGGTTTTGTTTTTTTTTTGGAGGCGGTGTTAAAGTATGCTGTAATTTTGCAACACTCTATGCTTTCTTGTGATCTAGCAGGAAAACAATGAAAAGTGGTTAAGTGAAGTATTCAGTGTTAATATGGCTCTATCAGGATACAGCATGGTTTGAGTATTGGACTGAGGACCAGGGTTCCAATCCTTACTCAGTAGGTGGCCGTAGGCAGTCACACTCTCTTAGCCTCAGTGGAAGAAATTGTTTTGCTGAATCTCTACTTGATGGAGCTATAATGAAATGGGTTTTTAATGTTTTTATCTTTAGTATGTTTTAGTAGAATTTGTAGCATTTTTGGATGCTTTCAGCTGTTATTTTGTTTGTTAAGTTTAATTAGGTGGTGTTATATTGTTGAATGTGTTTGTTTTATTGTAATTGTGTGGTTTCTTTCTGGCAATTAAATGTTAGCCTATATGAGTCCCTTTGGGGAGACAGGGTGTTATACAAATAAAGTTTTATTATTATTTATTATAGGCAAGCCCCATTTGATAAAAAATGATCTTAGAGTCACGATAAGTTGGAAAAGTTTTGGAGGTACAAAAAAAAAAAGCAAATGGATCTAAAACTTTTCTTCCTTCTTCTCTACCTTTAGGAATCTATGGTATCATTTGTCTGGAAGATCTCATTCATGAAGTTTACTCAGCTGGAGCACACTTCCATAAAATCAATACTTTTTTGTGGCCATTCCACCTCTCCGTGGCCCGCCATGCTGCCCGTAATAAAGTAGGGTTTCACAAAGAGATAGGCGACACCGGATTTCGAGGCAATGGGATCAACCAGCTCATACGTTTTATGAATTAAAATCCAGGTATTTTCTCTTTTTGTCTTAACTTGCAATGTATCTTATAGGTCTTGTATCAAATTTCATGCATGTCATATTTGTTTCCAGCCTATAAATAGATAACACAACTATTTTCTTTTTTGCTACTAGTTTCCCTGTTTTTTTTAATTGTACATGAGATATGATTTTTAATTAACATGTTTAAAATTTACAGATTGGTAAATGTGTAGATTTTAAATTTTATTGAAATGCTTTTAATGTAAGCTACTTTGTCTCCTTGAAATACATATGTACATAATGAATATATTCTTTATCCCCCCCACAGGAAAACCTTTATGAATATTCTGAGAATATTCTGAAGAATACTTATTTGTACTCTGTGATGTACAACTATTTCTTCAAGTCTCAGGACTTTTCAGCATGATAACTCCCACTTTTGGGGATGAGCAGGTGACAGCAGATCACAAGTAAATTAGAAGATACTCCCAATGTCACTGAAACTCTAGTCTTAAGATTCTGCATCTTGACTAAATTGGAAGGACTGAAGAGACTCACTCCTGAGATTCTAGCTGTTAAAAGACATTTTGGTTTGGATTTTCAAAATGACAGTGAAGCTTTACAATTCCAGTACAGATTTTGTGTAGATTTGGACCTCATGATTACAAAGCTCAAAACATTTGGCATTTTGTTTGATTTTTACTCAATGTACACTGTAATGTGTGTACTAGAGATTAAGGTTGACTTAGAGAACACGGGACACTTGAAAAGTGTAGTCTGGATGCCACAAGATCCCTTTGTCAGCTATCCAGTGTTTGAAGAGTTCATGTGTTCAATTCTCTTTCTAATCTGATTTCAAATCTTTTCTGTATCTCTAAAATAAATCTAGAGCCCTTTAACCACATTTTAATGATATTCAAATAAAATTACTTCATTCCTACTTTTTGTGGATCTTTTTATAACTTTGGCAAACGCTTTGCCTTTTTAAATATTGGTTTGAATTGTATCTGTTGCCTTTTGACATTGGTTTAAAAGAAAGGGAAGCCCTTTATTCTATTGGTACTTGTTCATGAATTAGCATACGTAGCATGCCAGGACAAATTATCTCAATTTTTGCAGTTCTCTGGAGCCCGTTTTCTGCACATAAAAACTGCCATGTAGATGAAAACTTGTATCCAGAAATTAATCTTTGTCCAAATTCAGCAGATTTGAGTTTACATAAAAGCTGAAATGTTGCATAATTTTGGAAATTGTTTGCAGATCTGTAACTTCTATATTTTATAGTAGAGGTGCCATCTAGTGGCAAAATCAAGAATTGTCCAAATGTAGAATTCAGTTTTCTACTGCTTTTACTATCATGACTGAATACTATGGATCATGGGAATTGTGATTTGGTGAGGCACCAGAACTCTTTGGCAGCGTAGAATGAATATTTTGTAAAACTACAGCTTCTGTGATTTCTTACAATTGAACTATGACAAAGTGATATGCTGTATTAGTTCTACAGTGTAGATGCATCATTAGTCTTAAAGTTGCTGCAAGATCCCTTTGGATGGATTGCTTAAAATAAAACATTTAGGAAAAAGCTAAAAAACAGCATTTCTGATTTGTTCTAACCCACCAACCTACATTCCCTCCTTATACATTCTTGAATTTGATGTTTAGATAGCTTTAATGTTTCTTTATCTTAAGGACATTGACTTGTCCTTAAGAAATTAATTGGCCTTTAGAGTTTTCAAGTATATTTGAGCTAGGTTGGACTAGAAAATTAGAACATCTGACAAAACTAGTGTCATGATCTGAAGCATAAGCACCTTTTAGCTACTGCATTCAGCATCTAAGTAATGCTGGTTGCAATGATACAAAAGTGCATAATGCTTATATCACACCTGGCTATTCACAGTGCAGCGTTTCTCAATCTGGGAGCCGCAAAAGGGGGGGGGGGTGTCCAAAGACCATCAAAAATACAGTATTTTTTGTTGGGTCATGGGGATCTCATGTGGGAAGTTTGGCCCAATTCTATCATCGGTGGGGTTCAGAATTCTCTTTGATTGTAGGTGAACTATAAATCACACCAACAACTCCGAAATGTCAAGGTCTGCTTTCCCCAAACTCCACCAGTGGTCACATTTCAGCATATTGAGTATTTATGCCAAGTTTGGTCCAGATCCATCATTGTTTGAGTCCATAGTGCTCTCTGGATGTAGGTGAACTACAACTCCAAAACTCAAGGTCAATGCCCACTAAACCCTTCCAATCTTTTCGGTTGGTTAAGGGAGTTCTCTGTGCCAAGTTGGTTCAATTCCATAGTTGGAGTTCAGAATGCTCTTTGATTTTAGCTAACTATAAATCCCAGCAACTACAACTCTGAGATGACAAAATCAATCCCCGCCCCAACCCCACCAGTATTCAAATTTGAGGGTATTTGTGCCAAATTTGGTCCAGTGAATGAAAATACATCCTGCATATCATGTTTACAATTTATAACCGTAGCAAAATTAGTTATGAAGTAGCAATGAAAATAATTTTATGTTTGGGAGTCACATGAGGAACTGTATTAAGGGGCCGCAGCATTAGGAAGGTTGAGAACCACTGCATTAGTAAGACAGAAACTTATGATTCTCTGTAAATATTTTATAGCAGTGCATCTGAAGATATCTAATGTGAAGGATTGGGAGTCTCCCCTTCCTCTCATTGGAGAGACTGATACAATATGCATATAAGCTCCATTTCCCCCCGGGAAACGTGGCTGAGGCCAGTAAAGAATAACTCATGGAATCACAAACAAATCTTCATGGACCAGAACTTTAAATAGCACTGCTTTAAAGGCATAGGTGGCAACTTTATTCTTAAACCTGACTTGGACATCATTTCATTATTAATAGCCATTTTTCAAGGATACTTTGATTTTATATTACTGGATGGCCCTTGTGGTCTCTTCAACATATGAATTAGAAGCATTTGTATTCACAAGTTGACAGCATGAAGTGTATTTCCAGGGTACAATGGGGGCCTTTCATGTCTGAGTCTTGGTTCCATGACACCCCTGTCCGGTAGACACCAAAATCTATGCTTTAGTCCCAGTATATATGGTAGCATAGTAAAATGGTGTCCCTTATATAAAATGGCAAAAACAAAGTTGGTTTTTTTAATGGAGGCCTGGCTGTATTTTGAGCTCAAATAAGTTCGTTTCAAAAGAGAAAACCCAATAGTTTTCTTCAACATTTTTTTGTTTTAAACCTTTATTCTACAAAACACAAAAATTAAACACCTTTTCCACTTTCACAAGACCTGGGGGGGTGGGGGAGGGAGAGACCAGGAAAAGAATTCTGATACATAATAAAAAAAATTACAGTAACAATATATCCACACTGCAGTTCTCAAGACTGGGCTTCAAATTAGATAACCTTGGCATTTTGGCATGGTGACTTGATTACTTAGCCATCGACAAGCTACAGACCTTTGTAATTTGGTATATTCAGAAGATATTTAATGATAAAATGTTAGTGAAGGCAAGACAGGAAATATGTACAGTTAGAAAGTAACGATTAGCAGCTAAGGAACTTTACAACGGTATCTGCCATGTCAAGGAAAAGCATCCCTTTTGTAGGCCACCATACTGTTCACTTTGTGTATGGTGGTTGTGAAGGAACGGAGGCGGACTTCTTCGGAGTTGGCAATAAACTGTGGCCCCGACTCCTCCCATTTTTCTGGAACTTCCAAGTCTTTGTCTGTGAAAATTAGCAAGTCAAATGCACCTGTGAAAACAAATAAAGTTGTTGTTGTTATTATTATCCATGAACTTACACTACTGTCATACTCGTTTAAACATATATGAGTAAAAAATTATTTTCCCTTTTCACCTATTCAGTACACCAACTTTCTACTCTGATCCTAAGCACTTATCTCTTCGATGCTTTATAGCAGTGCATCTGAAGCAAACATGTAGTCACTTCTGGTTTCTAAAAAACAAATTAACAGCACATTTGTCAGATGTGAACCCTGTAGCGAGCCCTCAAAGGTCAAAGTGTGTTCTCCCCACTGTTGAAGTTGCCTGTCCCTTTAACAATACCAAATGGCAAAATTATGTCTGCGAAAATGACTACAAAGTGGAAGATCAAGGAGTCAAAATGAAGAAGCAGGATGGGGATACTTTATTTTTTTGAACTCATGCATCCTTCCTGTAAGTATTGCCCTTCTTCCAAACTATAAGAGTGACTAATTATAGAGCACCACTGGGATAAAAGGACAAAATGGAAGCATGCATCCAGGGAAGGGATAAGATCAAAAGCAGAGGCAACAAAGTAGATTTTCCCCATCTGTTTTGTGCTTTTCAATTATGGTTCAACAATTCAACCCTCCTTTAGGAAAAACAAAAATGGGCATTGGAACCACATTTGCATTAGTCTGCAATGAATCAGTTGGAAGGATTCTCTTTAAATAATTTACAACATGTTTGGGTTTTATAAAATAGGAATTTATTTATTTATTTATCGTGTCAGTATCAACCAGACAAAATAGGAATGAAATGGTGCCATTTGAAAGTTGACTGTCATTGTTTATCCATAACTTCTTTGGAAAATAAATCATATGGGGCACATTTGGATAACCTAAAAAGGCTCAAAGTCTGTTCTGTTCCTGCTCATGCTGATTGTATTTTGGACATCCATATACAGTTTCTTTATGCCAAACTATTTTGTTTCAGTTTTTAGTACAGAGACATCTTATTCCATTCCCCAATAAAATGAATCTCTCTACTGAAGGATTTTTTAAAAGCAAGTCAGGTTGTAAATATTAAAATAAACTATTTGTTTTATTGGTTATACTAAAGTTACCCTGACAGCCATTTGCTGTATTCAGTTAATAACAAGTTGTAATACTTACAAGTAGTTTCTAACAATGGAAGAAATGTCACCGTAGCTGTTATTTGCCTAATAACAGATTTTATTTCATCCTGTATAGCTTTCTGAGATTTCTGCCTTGGGACACTGAAAATTCAACAAAATAGAAGATTTGGACACAATAAATGGCTGAAACACTATATTATGACAGCACATGTTGCTAAATACACTTGTCTTTCCAGAAACATATTTGAAGGTTGGACAGATGTGCACATAGCATGTGTATTGTTATATAAATTGGGTTTCTGTTAGTTTTCCAGGCTCCTAACATTTTACCCACATCTATGGCAGGCATCTTCAGAGAAACAATGGGAGAGAATGCTTCTGGAACATGGCCAGACAGCCCAGAAAACTCACAGCAACACAGTGATTCCGGCCATGAAAGCTTCAACAATGCGATATATAAATTGTTCACTGACTTCACAGGTTCGATAAACTATAACTTCTGGAGCAAATACATAATAGTGGCAATGTGCCTAGAAGTCATAAACCGTCAGACAAGTGCCAACATTTTCTGTTGCCTGCAACAAAGTGTGATGACACTTACTTTTCATCCTTTGAGCTTTTGTCACATTCAATATCAAACTGCCACCTTTCAAGAACTTCACTGGTTTCCTTACTAGAAATCACCACTACTAGCCGCTGAACCAGGCACTCATAGAGCCATTCTGAAAAAGAAGGAAATTAGCTTTTAGTTCCGAATTCCATCCGATTTCAGGAGCCAAGCAGAGAGAGGGCTGGTTAGTGCATGGGTGGAAGACTAGTGGGGGACTGCAGGTGCTGTAAGGTTTATTTCACACAGGGAGACAATGGTAAACCACCTCTTGAGTATTTCTCACTAAAGTAAACCCTAAGAAATTCATGATACGTATCACCATAAGTCAACAGGTGACTTGAAGGCACACAATTCTAGAGAACTAATTTTAGAAGTCTATTAAAATAAATTGTAATTAACTTTCTAAACTGTCTTACATGCTATTTTCCATTTACATAATGTACATTATGCCGTTAAGTATAATTTTCTTTACCAAAAAAGTAAATAAAGATGAAATTAAAAGATTCCCTTTTACATAGTTTAAATTGTACACATCTGGAATAGACAGCTTCTGTTCTCTCAGAGTGATCTGGGGTTCTCAGCAGCAGCCTTGATGTGTATTTTGCTACCACATTGTGTTAATAGCCCAATGGACTGTAAGTATACTGTTTTAATCTTTATGTCTTAATGTTTATGCTTTTAACTGTTATAATTGCTGTTTGTATTTTATTATGCGGCATCGAATTGTTGCCAATTGGAAGCCGCCCTGAGTCCCCCTAGGGGTTGAGAAGGGCGGGGCAAAAATGTTAGAAATAAATAAATAAATAATAAAATTAACATTTGCATTAAATTACCAGGAATACTCTGACCCTTGCACCAGGTAGCTACAAATTTGGATTGGTTCATTAACTATATTTCTGAGTATGTTTTCTACTTATTCTCATATGTGCAGAGAACTCTGAAAACAGAGATGTGTTTACCTTTTAGAAGTGGAAAGAGCAGCTCATTGGTGCTGCTTCCCACAAGGGAAGGGTGAGTATTTAAATCTTCCTGTCTTCTAACACTGTTGGCAATGGAGAATAATATTTCCTTACATTCACTGGGATTCTTCAAAAAACCTCAACATTCTCTAGTACACTAATAGGAAGACAGAGACACCATTTTCTTTCTACTGAAAAAATATCACAGGTATTTCCCTCTCTTGTCAAATTATGAATCAATTTGGCAGTGAGGAATTGCTTGTCTAAAGCTAAATTGTAACTCCCAAGAAAGCCTTCACTTTTGTATTCTATTACACAAGAAATAATTCATTTATTCATTGTATTTATATCCTGCTCTTCTCACCCCAAAGGGGACACAAAGTAGCCTTCCAAAAGGCAACAATTCGTACCAAGTATGCAAGTAAACAAGTTGTTGTTGTTGTTCATTCGTTCAGTCGTCTCCGACTCTTTGTGACCTCATGGACCAGCCCACGCCAGAGCTCCCTGTCGGCCGTTACCACCCCCAGCTCCCTCAAGGTCAGTCCAGTCACTTCAAGGATGCCATCCATCCATCTTGCCCTTGGTCGGCCCCTCTTCCTTTTGCCTTCCACTTTCCCCAGCATAATTGTCTTCTCTAGGCTTTGCTGTCTCCTCATGATGTGGCCAAAGTACTTCAACTTTGTCTCTAGTATCTTTCCCTCCCAGTATATTAAAAACATAAATTTAAAAAGTCATATAAACATTAAAACACATTTTTAAAACCATGCAATCCAGAATCATACTTAAAAAGCCATTCCAGTCATTATTGCACAATTTCCATTTTTACTTATTGCAATGCATTATTGGCCAAAGGCTTGGTCCCTGAGCCATGTTCAGGAGGGAGGGGGCTGATCTTATATCACTGAGGAGTTCCACAACAAAAGGGCCACCATTGAGAAGGCCCTATCTCTCATCCCCAAGAATTGCACTTGCAACGCAGGCAGGACTGAGCAGGGCCTCCTCAGGTGATCTTAATCTCTGAGATGGTTGATAAAGGGAGATAAAAGCAACCAAATTTAGTTTTGCCAAAAATACATAGTAAGAAATGGGTTGCATGTCTATAACATATACCAACTTTCCCTACATATTCACACTGTAGGCAGGTTTCAAACCACACACTAGGAAATCTTATCCATTTATTTCTGGGGCTGAATCCAGTTCTCAAAGTACCAGGTAGCCTTTCTTATTTATTTACGGCATTTCTACCCTGCCTTTCTCTACCCAGGAGAGGACTCAAGGCAGCTTACATGAAGGCAACCACACGAAGCCATAGGATATGTACAATTACAGATATTTAAATAGTTATAAAATACATTAAAACAGTTTAAAAACATATAAAACATTAGGAGTCAATCACATGATCCTTAAATGCAATCCGGCCATTTCAGGTAGTCAGTGCACATCAATTCCATATCTGTCTATTTCTCAAGTTCTCCAAAAGTTTGGTCACAAAGCCAGGTTTCTTCTTTCTTACAGAAGCTCAGGAGGGAAGGGGCTGATCTGATGTCCCTGGAGAGGGAATTCCACAGCCAGGGGGCCACCATTGAGAAGGCCCTGTCTCTCGTCCCCGCCAATCTTGCCTGCAATCTTAGACTCCAGAATGGTTCATAGGATGGTTCTTCACATACAGCTTGTTTCCAAAAGGTACCAAATCCATCTGGACAAATTTTACAGGGATAATAACAACCATTTTGAGCTATAAAATGCAGTTTTCCAAACCCAAATAGGAGTGATTTGACACATTTTGATAGTTTTAATATTCTACTCATATCCAACATTATGGATAAACTAATTTTTCATTTTTTGTTTTTGTTTGGATTTGGTACCTTTTGGAGACAAACCCCACATACCTAACCACCATCCCATAACAACAACAACATTTGCAATTCAACATATTGATGCAATGTATTTTTGGCATTTGAATTGCAACTAGAATGAGAATGAAATGAAATGTTGTGGCTAAACCAAGCTACATAGACAGTTCAAACCAAACATGAATCCATGTCTGAAAAAGTTACAAGTCCATTTGTAACTGGCCACTGGCATAGTTATTCAAGTGCAGACAAAGAAGCAGCAGTGACTAAGTGATAGAGGTCATGGGCTCAAAAGAAAAAAGAGGAATTTGATACCAGGATTCATGCCCGAATAAACATGTTCTTTTGTTCCCCCACTTTTATTTTACCTCTCTTAAGCCTGTAAGGAGCATTTGGCAACCTTATGGCACCCAGGAAACTGTATATCACCCTTTAATAACAATATTACAACTGCTAGTACCTTTTAATTGCCCCACGACATTATTCAAGTAGTTTTTAAGTTCAGAGTCTGCTGTTACAAGCATAGTGAGCCCATATTTCTGAACATGTGTGAAGGTTTCAGCAGGATAGATCCCACGTTGGTATAAAATACTATTGATGCCATATGCTGAAAGAAAAAAAGTGCATGTTATTACAATTCAAGAATCAATACTTCATCATGCTCTTTTTCTTTCCCATTAAGTATTTCCAAATGGCAAGGCAATATTGGCATACACAATAGTGTAGTAAAAGATATCTCATATATAACATGGCAAAATCAAGGTTTGCTTTTAGGAATTGTTTATTTTTTTGGAGGGAGGGAATATTTTTAGGATAATTGAACCCATGGCTATGGAGGGCTAGCTGTGTTGTATATATTCATCTCTCCATGTTTGTGGTTTAGATTTTTGTTCATTTGATTATTCACAGATTTGACTTAAAATATTTATTTATTAACTTGCATATATTTATATCCCACTCTTCTCACCCTGAAGGGGACTCAGGGTGGCTTACATAAGGGGCACTATTCCATGCCCGAATAACAGTTAAAAACAATTAAACGACGATTAAAAACAACATTAAAGCAACATATGTAAACATTAGACAACTATTGTGCATATATTCATGAAGATAGTCATATTCATCAATCCAAAACCAATTCCAGTTATATTGCACAAGTAATTATGCTCCTAAAGCCGAGTTTTAATTTGTTTGCAAAATGACAGGTGGGAAGCCGATCTAATTCCACAGCCGAGGGGCCACCACTGAGAAGACCCTCTTTCTTGTCTCCACCAGCCGTGCCTGCGAAGGTGGTGGGACTGAGAGCAGGGCCTCACCAGAAGATCTTAGCCTCTGCGATGGTTCATAGAGGGAGATGCGTTCAGACAGGTAAACTGGGCCAAGGCCGTTAAGGGCTTTATAGACCAAAGCCAGCGCTTTGAATTGTGCTCGGTAGCAAGCTGGCAGCCAATGGAGCTGGCATAACAGGAGGATTGTGTGCTCTCTGTACGCCACTCCTGTTAGCAATATGGCTACCACACATTAGACTAGTTGAACTTCCAAAAAGTCTTGAAAAGCAGCCCCACATACAGTGCATTACGAGATGAAACCAACAGATGTAACTAGTCTATACGAGATGTATTTTCTCTAAGAATATGCCCTGAACCCCAGAAAGCTGTACTGCCTTTGCCAACTCTTATTACCCAAAAGATTAAAATCTAACACTCACTCTGGGAGAACACAGCAATGTAAAGACACGGTAGGCTTAATATGAATTTACAGTGGAAGCCAACAGAGATCTAACTTTGATTTGTTTTAATTGGGAATGCTTTAATACTATTTATATTTAATCCTGCTTTAATGTTCGTATATTTGTACATTCCAAATGGCTATGCTGATGCTTTTAGGTCAAGCTGTTTTGAGTTCCTTGGGGAGATAAAGCAGGGTATAAATAAACATAATAATAATCTATGTAACAGAAACCCCAGATTTCAACTAGACTTGTTTTTAGGTTGAGAAGGTCTAACACAGGCATAGGCAAACTTCGGCCCTCCAGGTATTTTGGACTTCAAGGCTGTTAGGAATTGTGGGAGTTGAAGTCATAATTGCTTTTAGGGTATATACTGAAATGTCTTACTCATGTTTTAGTTTACTGTGTCTTATTGGATTGCTTTATGTTAATTTCAGCCTTTCTCACCCCGAAGGGGACTCAGAGCAGCTTACTTCTTTGCTCTTCGTTTGCTGCTGTTTCTGTGCCTTATCTTGTATTATTTTGATGTGTTTGTATTCATTTGGGGCATTGAATGTTTGCCTTTTGCTTTGTGTCTGTAAACCACCCCGAGTCCCTTCGGGAAGGAGGTAGATCTTGAAGCAAAGTTTTTTTTAATATTATCATTATTATAAATGTGCAAATACTAAAAGACATTTATTTATTTACGACATTTATATCCTGCCCTTCTCACCCCAAAGGGGACTCAGAACAGCTTACAAGTTATATGTACATACAATATATTATATTATTAGAATAGCACAACATAAGTATTATATATTACTATATTGTACTATACCACTATACACTAATATATTGTATTACATACAATATATAATCATTATATTATATTGTATTGTTATTAGTATTATTATATTGTATTACAATATTATGACCAATATTATATGTACATACAATAGATTATATTATTAGCATGGCACAATATTAGTATTATATATGATTATATTATAATATTGCATTATTAGTAGTATTATATTGTATTACAGTATTCTGATCAATGTTATATGTACATACAATATATTATATTAGCTGAGCACAATATTAGTATTATATACCACTAAACTGCAATATTATTAGTATACATGTAATATATAATATACAATTATGTTGCATTATTATTAGAATTACGTTGTATTACAATATCATGATCAATATTATATGTACATACAATAGATTATATTATTAGCATGGCACAATATTAATATTATATATTACTATATTGTACTATGCCACTATACTGCAATATTATTAGTAATACATGTGATATATAATTATTATATTATATTGTATTATTAGTGTTATATTGTATTACAATATTATGATCAATGTTATATGTACATACAGTATATTATATTATTAGCATAGCACAATATTAGTATTATATATTACTATATTGTACTATACCACTACAGTGCAATATTATTAGTAATATTACATGTAATATATAATTATTATATTGCATTATATTGTATAACAATATTATAATTAATTTTATACATACATACATTATATTAGCATAGCACAATGTTAGTATTATATATATTACTATATTGTACTATACCACTATACTGCAATATTATTAGTATTACATGTAATATTTAATATACAATTATATTAGATAGCACAATATTAGCATTATATATTATTATATTGTACTATACCACTGGAGGAAAGTTCTGAGAGTGCCTTGGACTGCGAGAAGATCCAACCAGTCCATCCTCCAGGAAATAAAGCCCAACTGCTCACTGGAGGGAAGGATACTAGAGTATTATATATTACTATATTGTACTATACCACTATAACCGCTTTGCGTTGCCTAAGGGCTGAGAAAAGCAGTATATAAATGAAGTAAATAATAATACTGCAATATTAGTAATATTATATGTAATATAATACACAATTATTATATTGTAGTATTATTAGTATTACATTGTATTGCATTATAATGTTATCATCAATATTATTTGTATATACAATATATATTATTAGCATAGCACACTATTAGACATTCTTAAGGAGGCATTTCTATTTATATTGCAAAGGAGACTTCCCTGAGAGAGAGTTCTTCCCATGTTTTCCTTATCTATCATACTTATTAATATCAAAGGAGACAGAGAAAGGGAAGAAAGACAAACAGAATCAGGGAACACAGTGGCTGCTTTTGAGTTTCAGCTGAATAGGCCTCAGTCCAGCTTCAGCCTGGCCTACTTACAATCTACACCAGGCATGGGCCAAGTTGGGCCCTCCAGGTGTTTTGGACTTCAACTCGCACCATTCCTAACAGCCTCAGCGGCTGAGGGTGAAAAGGAAAGGGCCTGAGGCTGTTAGGAATGGTGGGAGTTGAAGTCCAAAACACCTGGAGGGCCCAACTTTGCCCATCCCTGATCTACACTTGAATTAATACAGTTCGAATCCACTTTAACGGCTATGGCTCAATGCTACAGAATTGTGGGATATGTAGTTTGTTGAGGCACCACCACTCTTTGGCAGAAAGAACTATAGGCCTTGTAAAGCTACACCTCCCATAATTCAATAGCACCCGGCCATAGCAATTACTATAGTGTCAAACCGCCCCCACAGTCTTCTAAGCCACTCACAAAAGAACTCGGCCACGATTTCCGCGCTGCCCCGCAGGGTGATGCCTTGCTCCCGGCTCTGCTGCTTCGCCATGGCGGGCAGGAAGGAAATGGACCAGCAGGGTCGGGATCCAAACGAGAAACCACCAGAAGAAGGCCTCCCCCAAAGCCTTGGTAATTCGCCCCTTCCAAAGCACGAGACAGTAGCTTTAGAGGCCTTCCCGCCACGCTTTTCAAAATCCAAAGCCCCGCCCCTGCATCGTCACGTGGTTCCAAGACGTAAGACTTGACGCCAGCGACTCACTGCGCAGGCGCAAACGGAGGAAGGCGACGGAGACGTTCTATCTATTTCATTTGAGCTGCCCTTAGCTCTTGTTATGTGCGCATGCGCGGGTTTGTCAGTGAAGTTTTCCCGCGGTTTCCCACCCAATTGATGTAAGACTTAAAATATTGTATTGTCGAAGGCTTTCATGGCTGAAATCACTAGGTTCTTGTGGGTTTTTTCGGGCTATAGGGCCATGTTCTAGAGGCATTTCTCCTGACGTTTCGCCTGCATCTATGGCAAGCATCCTCAGAGGTAGTGAGGTCTGTTGGAATTACGACAATGGGTTTATATATCTGTGGAATGGCTGGGGTGGGGCAAGGAGCTCTTCCCTGCTGCAGCGAGGTGTGAATGTTTCAACTGATCACCTTCATTAGCATTTGAAGGCCTGCCTGAGCCTGGGAAAATCTCTTGCTGGGAGGTGTTAATCTGTGAACCAGCCTGGACACAGCATATTATTTGAGAACACAGAAATGCTGGACCACACCAACAACCACCATGTCAGACTACACAGAGAAGCCACTGAAATCCACAAGCATGTGGACAATTTCAACAGAAAGGAAGAGACCATGAAAATGAACAAAACCTGGCTACCAGTATTAAAAAACTCTAAAATTACAATAGCAAAACAACAGAGAGGAAACAACCAGGCACAGATTAACAACTCCCAGCAAGAGATTTTCCCAGGCTCAGGCAGGCCTTCAAATGCTAATGAAGGTGATCAGTTGAAACATTCACACCTAGCTCCAGCAGAGAAGAGCTCCTTGCCCCACCCCAGCCATTCCACAGATATATAAACCCTTTGTCCTATTTCCAACAGATCTCACTACCTCTGAGGATGCTTGCCATAGATGCAGGCGAAACGTCAGGAGAAATGCCTCTAGAACATGGCTCTATAGCCCGAAAAAACCCACAAGAACCTACTTAAAATATTGCTTTTAACAGCCAGCTATATGGAATTCCAGGATTAGTAAAGTTAAGATATCTAAGGAATCTGCCAATCCCAAATTAGTTCGCTTACAAACAGAAACATAAAGAAAGAATGACCAAAGTTTTGATCCTTTTGAGATTTATTTTATTTATTTGTCATGTCAGGACAACCAGCCAAATTATATTGCATTTCTAACACAACAAAGCAAACAAACAGGCAAAATACAAAATTTGTGAGTTTGGTTGTTGGTTAAATGTCCTTTTGAGATGCCACCCAACAAACTTCTCCATTTATCTAAATATCCATGCACCTGATTCTAATTATTTCCATTAGCTAAGCTGATGCAACCAGGTGTTTATTTACTTTTGTACTTATTCAGGACTCATTGTTTTCCTTAATGCTGGCCCTTTTTATAGTTGTGATTGTGGCTTGAAACTATCTATTAGAGCAGGCATGGGCAAACTTGGGCCCTCCAGGTGTTTTGGACTTCAACTCCCACAATTCCTAACAGCCTACCGGCTGTTAGGAATTGTGGGAGTTGAAGTCCAAAACACCTGGAGGGCCCAAGTTTGCCCACACCTGCACAATCAATAATGGCATTAATATAGCTAGCTGCAATATGAAACAACAGTGCAATTTGGGTCTACTGTTCACAGTCCCCCTCCCCCACTTTGTGTTATTTACAATCAGAGAAAACCCATTGTGAATCCCATTTATTTCACTGGATCTACTGACATTTGTTTGATCGGATATATGCCATTACAAATTTGATGAAGTGGGATTTTGGTTGACAGAAAAGTAAACAATGTGTTCATTTTTCTTGCACAGTCTGAGCAGGTTTTATTTATTTTGTGTCAAAAGCATTGCATAAACAAATAAGTATAAAACTGATAAAATAAAAAGAGCACAAACAGCTAGATAATTTTAGACCAAAAACTGGCAACAGCAACTGCATTGTATTGTCGAAGGCTTTCATGGCCGGAATCCATGGGTTGTTGTAGGTTTTTCCGGGCTATATGGCCAGGAAGGCAATTTTTCTCCTGACGTTTCGCCTGCATCTATGGCAAGCATCCTCAGAGGTAATGAGGTCTGTTGGAACTGGGAAAAATGGGTTTATATATCTGTGGAATGACCAGGGTGAGACAAAGGACTTTTGTCTGCTGGGGCTAGCTGTGAATGTTTCAGCTGATCACCTTGATTTGCATTCAATGGCTTGGAAGCGCCTGGGGGGAATCTTTTGTTGAGATTGATTTCATGTGCCTGTTTGTTTCCCCTCTGTTGTTTTGCTGCTGTAATTTTTGAGTTTTTTTAATACTGGTAGCCAGATTTTGTTCATTTTCATGGTTTCTTCCTTTCTGTTGAAATTGTCCACATGCTTGTGGATTTCAATGGCTTCTCTGTGTAGTCTGACATGGTGGTTGTCACAACCTTTTCTAGAATAGATTTAGGTGAACATTTTATTCATAGTTTTTCACTAGAATTACCACAAGATGGTAGTGTTTAACTAAAAGTGCTTGATTCTCTCAGTGTTGTCCTGAAAAGTGAAAAAACCAGCATGGAACCAAAAGACAGCCTTACTAATTGCAATGGCCCAGATCCTTCTGCATCACAAAAGGAAAAAAAAATAGTTCCTGGCTGTCATGTTCAATGCATGCAAATAATGCACATCTTTGATCACATTAACTTTTTAATCAATTCATAGGGCAAATATTCTGCAGCTATGTTTGTCACTTTTGGCACTAGATAAATGTTAGTATAAATTGTTCACACACAAACACATTTGATTTCTGTTTACAATAAATTGCTTTGCTTATTTGACCTGTTTGCCAGCAATTTTATCTCTTTTTCCTAGTAGAAAAAAAAATCAGTGTTTTATCCACATCCACTTTGTCTTCTTCCTCACCAGTTTTATTTTTTTTAATAAAATGAAAGTATTTCATCTTTTTGACAAGGACAATATGTTATGTTTTTGAATATTCAAATGAGGTCTCGAGGAAAGTTTTTTTTTTAAACCAAGTGAATTTGTTTTTATTTCAATAACATAACAATGTTATCAAATGCATGTTATTTGCTTCATCCGATTCAGCCTTGCATCAAAGGGTATTTTATACCTTGCAGATGTTTATTCACCTCTATTTTACATAGAACAGCCATCCTGTATACAAAAACGTAGTGTAAAGGATTTATGGAATTGAAGGGGCATGCACTCTGCACATTCCCAGAAGTCCCCTTCTATCTTGGAAGGGTGGCATGGAAGGACACACTAACAAATTGAATCTCTCTGAAGATTAGCTTTATTTGCCGACCGTGCAAATGGTGGCCGTTGTGAAAAGACTACCGTGCCCCAAAAGATTGGGGTCACAATCTTTTATTGTTTTACAGAAATCCAAAAAGTGCATTTTGATTGATGTCAACATATTGTCCGTTTGATTGGCCCATGCTTACCTAATACATTTCGGATTGGCTCTTTATTCCTAAGCAAGCAGACAGGTGGAAAACAACTGAAACTAGAATTAACTGGAAAGTTCACATCTCTTTCAAGTGACCCTGACTCGCTGGGAAGTGCTTGGCAGGCACTGGCTTACCTTTTGCTTACAAGAATGCTGTGTGAAAGAATAGGGAGGGTAGGTATGAAGGCTACTCCCTAAACTGCAGTGGCAGCTTTTTTTCAAAGCTGTATTTTTGTCTATTTCCATTCTACAGATGGGACCTACGGTCCTATAGTGCAATTTAAAATATTATAAAACTACATCTCCTTCAGAACATCTTTGTTTTCCTCCCACTTTTCCCTTGGTTTCTTCTTTCTGTCATCATTAATTTGAAGTTCAAGATTAACAGATTTTATGCATATATTTCAAATATTTTATTAATAAGTCAGCCTGTCTTCTATACTATTGAAACAAAGGAAGTCGGCCATGTTTCTGCTGACAAACATATTATTACAAGGGGTATTTTTAAAGTAAGATCCGTTTGAACATAAGTACACAACGGAAGTTTATTTCAAAAAAGTAAATTTATTTTCAGAAAGTACATATTTCACTCTATTTTTCGACATAGTTGCCAAATTTGTTCAAACACTTATCATACCTCTGAATTTTAAAATACTCTCTTCATAAAAATTTGCCGCCTGCTCCGATAACCAAGAGTTTACTGTAATCAAAGAAGGGTGACCGGAGCGGTCCTCATCATGGACGTTGTCGCAGCCATCTTTGAATTGTCGTACCCACTTACGCACTTTGCTTTCACTCATAACAGTATCACCGTACACTTCACAAATCTGTCGATGAATTTCTGCAGCAGGCAGGTTCCTTGCTGACAAAAACCGTATCACTGAGCGAACCTCACATGCAGAGGGTGAGTTGATAGTCTTAAACATTTTTAAAGCACAGAAAAGAACCGTACAGGTACGCGGTATGCACGCGAACTACTAGTGTCTACAACAAAACGGACCTTACTTAAAAAATACCCCTCGTATATTATCTTTTATAATATGAGCAGCCAGAAATTATTATGAAGGGGTATTTGAAGTCAGGATACCTTCCTGTTCCATCCCTTTAAAACTATAAGTAGAGTCTCGCTTATCCAACCTTTGCTCGTCCAACGTTCTATATTATCCAACGCAATCTGCCTCCTGTCCGGATCCACAAATGTTTCAATACTTTGCAATGTTTTGGTGCTAAATTTGTAAATATAGTAATGACTACATAACGTTACAGTATATAGAACTGCTTTTTCTGTCTATTTGTTGTAAAACATAATGTTTGGGTACTTAATTTGTAGAATCATAACATAATTTGATGTTTAATAGGCTTTTCTTTAATCCTTCCTTATTAGGCAATATTTTCGCTTATCCAGCGTTCTGCCTGCCCGTTTATGTTGGATAAGCGAGATTACTGTATATTTATGATTACTTAGTAGTTGAAATGTAAGAATTGGATGTCACATGACAAAAATTTGTTCCATGTAGAAATTAGCTTAGTACTTTATTTAATTGCACACTCCATGTAAAATCGGTTCCAAATCCCGG